TGAATATTGATTAAAAATGAAAAAAATATTTGTAATGAAATGGAGCTTGAGGGATTTTATGCAGCAGTAATTTACTGGAGGGAAAAAAACAGAGAAAAAGAACATACTTCAAAAAAGCTTGCTATGCATAAGGCCAACTGACTTCTCCTCCTACAATTTTTTTTTTCTTCTCAGCTATGTTGCTTGGAGATAACCCAGTAAGTAGGCAGCTGATTAATTTTTCACCATTACCTATTTTGTTCCTGATATTATCCTACTGTAAACTTGACCTTTCCTGTCCATAACCTGACTCTATGTATTGTCTCTTGTCCTTTGCTCAGGCTTTCAGCTCTTTAAGGCTAGAGACTATAGCTTTGTTATGAATAGGTATGGCAGTCGACACCATAAGAGCTTAATTCTTGGTTTGATCATGGAGCTCACTTATAGCACAAAAAAAATTTAAATAAATCATGAAATCCTTAAAAATGAACAAAAAAACCCCGCTTCATAAAAATTCTGGTTTTCAACCCTTTTCATTTATAAAGCTATTTTTAGAAAAGCTTGTTATCTTTGTATTTTCTAGACATCATCTAGTATCACAGAAAAATACTTACCTTAAGAGTTTTACAGGAAATATAGAAGTTCCATCACAACAGTTAGTGCAGAAGCAGAGCTCATCGAAGTTTCATGATGAAATCCCACTTCTCAACAGATGAAAGAAATACCTTTCTTTCATAGTCTTTATTTCTCATGCTATTTTTTTTCATCTAGTCATTTTTTTATTTTACTTCAGGACTTTCCATGCTCTAATTCTCCCTGGGTGGTTCTATTTTTTTCAATGCATTCAATTCATGCAGTTTCCTTCTATCCTACGAGCACTACATAAAGAACAATTAATCAAAACCAGCATTATTTAGCCTTTCAGTGTTCCAAAGGTCCTTATTTAACATACATCTAAGAGAGTGGTATTTAGTTTATATAACTGCAATTTCTACTAAGCAACACAGCAACTACATCTTGTATGCAAACTTGGAGCATTTACACAATAGATTGATAGCAAAGTCCTTCAGTTTGTTGTAATTGTGAATTTTTGAGCTTTATCCCCTTACATTTCTGAAATTTCAAAACTTTTTTCAGGAGAAATTTAGCTCAGTTCTTCCCATCCAGCACCAAAATGTATAGATCAAACCCTTGTAACTGCAGATCAGCCCATGGCTATGAAATTACAAAAGCAAGCTGTTCACATAAAAAATTGCCTCAACTCTTGACCTCCACTGGCACGGCAGAATGATGCTGTTTGGCTGCCAGAGATCTTCAACAACTGCTGAGAAGGGTCTTTACCACCTAAGAGAGACACATCCTTTTGCCTAAACAAATATCCAAACAAACAAAATGACAATTGTGAAGAAAACTAGATAGAAGAAATTGCATAGGTACAGTTAAAACACTATGCAGAAAACAGGGAAAAACCTAATCTAGAAAACACATTAAAAGGGCCTTTTAAAAAAAAAAAAAAGGAAAAAGAAATGAAGCAACTGCAAAACAAAGCTCACCTATAACTGGATATTTGTGCTTAAATATCTTGCAAATCTTGAATAAGAAGTGACTGTAAGATGATATAATTTGAAATTGTATTTGCAATCAAGCCTCTGTGGTTTAGCATGGCTTTAGAAGAGCTGAAGAAAACTGAAAAAGAAGCAAATAAATATACAAATAAAAGCAGCTACGATTTAAGAAGAGAGATTGAAGGAGCTACATTTATGAGCTCCTTTATTTATAAATATTAGACAGATTTAATCAAAGAACATACCCACCCATGCTCTCTGTGAAAGATGTCTTATCCTTTGAGAGAGACTGTTCTGGACACCAGAGTTATATTTCTTTTGACTAATGAACAAAAAAATTAATACACACTCTACTTTAGAAAAAAACAACCCTGGAAAATATTACATCCTATGAATACTTTACAGGTCATTGTGTAAAGGGAATTATTCAGTGCCTCTGAAGATAGTAGGAATGTTATCAAAGGAGTTATAGAAAGAAACATTAATGCAATTCATGAGCGAAATGCTATTATTCATTAGTAAGAGTCCTGTAACAGTAGGAAGATATTACAAATGAAAATATTCAACAACAATTTAAATAGCACATTAGTGGTCAAGATGAAGGGATTAGTCTTGTAGTAATGCATGAGCCAAGAATATTACAGCATCCTTTTCTTGTCTTCCATTTTCTGTGATTGTCTCCATAAAAAACACAGACTTAAGCTTCAAAGTTTTAGGGAAAGGAAAGACATAAGAACAGAGTATTGGAAGAAGGTGTAACAAATGTCAGGTAACTTGATTCTAAGTGGAACAATATATAAACAGGTAACAACTTCCACAAATGAATCACACCTCAACTACTCTTCCATCTTACTTTGCTTTTCCATTACCATTCATTCCTTTGTTTCTTTGCCGAAGTCAACATGCATGCACTAGGGTCATCGGTTTTAGAGCTCTTCTCAATTCTCTTGGCATTCAGAGGTAAACAGCAACAATTCTCTCGCTGCTATCTTCAATAAAGGGTAAGAGTTCCTCCTGAAAATTACAGTTTTACTGACACAATCAGTAAATTCAGGTAACAGCTGAAAAAAACATTGGCATACAAGATATGTGTGTAAGTATTACCTTATCTTAAATATCACATGCATAAGCACTATAATTGAATTTCTTGGATTTAAAACTGCAGTTTTCAAGTGACATACTGTTAACTGCTCTTGTACGTTGTGCTAGTATATAGGACACATGTCAATGTAAATTTCTTTTGATACAACTATTAAAGCAGTGAATTGTCTGTATCGGTTGGCTCTGTTCACATGATTACATTGCTTATTTTACTGACTTTTACAACACAAAAATTCGAAGTAGTTGCATTTGTCACAGTAAGTTCAGTAATTTTTAATAAAATCTAAGAATTCGCTTCAACTTTGTCTAAGTCTAAAACAAATTAAACAGGATTAACTTGGACACCACAGTCTGTATCATGTAGTATGTGGCCTGCCTGAATAATGTTATCCTGTTAAAAGTGCATATTAGTGTCAGAAACGCATACTTTTAAAATAAACCAGTCTCCTATGACATGTACTCTTATTTTTCATTTCAAAGTTAGTTTCTTTTCTTGAATTACATGTGTTAAGTGTTAGGGAAAAGGCTCTCAGTGGTAAGTTTTGTGCACTGAACTAAACAGGAAATGACAAGTTTCAGGGACTTACAGAAAGTCTACAGCCATTGCAGAGGGGAGAGCATGAACCAGGCTCTGAAGGTCTGCCAAAGCCAGTTCCTATCCTTTTTCAACAGTTAACACTAATCTTGCAAACTCTCATGAACAAGTTCTTAGCTGTAGGAATTTGCTCCTGTGAAAGCTATAATTAATTTAATAAATGAAGACTTTTCATACTTAAAAAGAAACTTTTTGCATCACCATATAATCAGTAGATCTCATTCTGAAAGAGTCTAGTGTTTAAGTGTGGCTTCACATATATTTGTTAAACAGCATACTGGATTCAACAGCTAGGATGTCCCAGAAGCTTTGGGACATGGAAGTTGAAGTTAAAGAAACATGTCATTTTTATTCTGGTATTTGTCTACAAAGTCCATTTGAATTTGTTTTCAGGACAAAGGGATCTTGAAATATCAGTCAGAATCATTAGCTACATAGTTCTCAAAAAAATGTGCAAAACCAAAATAGTGTGTGTGCCTGTGTGTCAAACAACAACTATTCTCATGTTGTACACCCAAAAAGGAACATCATTGCAATCCCCCATGTTTAAATCTTGTATGGAAATCCCAGAAAGGCTGATTAAAAGTGCTTTATGGAGTTGTGCCAAATAGGGAGCAAACAGAGCTGGAATGAATACTCCAAACTGGGTGGTGGTGGTTTAAAACCTGAATACAAATTGTAGCTGCTGTACCTGCCCCTGCCACCATCACCAGCCTGCCCAGCCTCTGGCCTCAAATATTGTAGAATTTGAGAGAATTTTACCAGAGTCCTCATCAGGATCCCAATTTCAAGGTAGCAATATTCATAATCTGCTGAACTGAAAGTCTGGCTTTTAAGAATATAGAATTAATAATTTTAAAGGATTATTTCTTTAGTTATAATTTTTCTTAGTTATAACTGAATATTCATACAGCCAATTTATTTTATGACAAAACTGTGGCCTGTAAAGAAATGAGGTGGAGCAACAAGAAGTCCAGGAGAAAAAACAGAAACAAAACCAAAAACTTTCATTAAGGAAACAGCAGCTTAATCCTCTTTTGAAGTGGGAGTAATTAATTCAGGGATTAATAAAAAGACTCCATAACAAAGACCTCAAATGCTACCAAAACCAGCTTTTTTCCATTCTGAATCTCTCTTTTTATTTGTAAAGACTGGCATTACAATTGAAAAGGACTCAAAATGGAGTGATGTATACATCATTGGTGTTTCATGATGCAACTGATGGAGTCCCTGAATGGATATTGCTTCAGCTTTGCTTTTAAAAAATAATTTAACAAGAAAATCTTCAACTCCACTATCGATCACAGGTGGCAGAAGTGAAAGAAAGAAAAAGAAAAGAAACAAAAACTACTGTCAAATTCATTAACATATACATTGTTGGCTGATGACACTTGTTCCAGATGTACAATAAAGCCCACAACACTTTATTACTATGGATATAATTATTGTGAATGTTTTTTCATGTTGATCAACTTGCTTCTGAAGGTTATTTTTTTGATTGTTTTAAACTTGCATAATAAACATGCAATGAAACATTTCTTGTTAAAGTGTCTTTTGCAGTCATCTTGTTTTCATACAAAGATTTCATAAAGTTGCAGTGTTGTATCAGAGCATTACCAAAATAAGAGCAAAAGCTAAAGAGGAAGGTAAATGTGAAATGAACTTGATGAAAATAACCTAATCTTGTCCTGAGACACTCCAGTCTTATTAAAAAGATGTGCACAATCAAATCCCTTCCTCCCAAACCCACCAAAACCACAAAATAAATATTAACTTGGAAGAAAGGGAAGACATAAAGAAAAAAAAAATGATGTCATCATGCACTCATCTTCTGCATAGCTCAACCCACATATAGTAAGGCACTATTTCCCCACAACTTAGTGTCCACAACAATCTTTTACAGTGCTCTGTGAACCACATATAGTTCCTTCCAGGATGACGAAATAAACAGATTGAATGAGTGTTGCTACCATGTCACCCCATGTGTGATCTTATAGACAAGGGCATCATTCTGGCAGTTTCAGAAATAAGCTGTCTCAAGTCTCTTCTTATGTGTGCATGTTATGTATAGGGATATCTTTTGTGTGTGCAAGTGGTTGTTTTGTTTTCCAGAGTTGCTATTATTTTTCATTGTTCTTTACTCCAGTGTTCTCAAAGCAAATACACAAGAAAATAAAAGCGCAGTTGGGTCATTAAAAACAGAGCTTTGGTGCTCCAAAAAGCACACAGCTTTGGGGATTTAAGAAATCTGTTAGACATTCCCAAAAGAGTTGGGAAATATATAGACATATTTTCATCTGGAAATCCTCATGTCTGCTTAGTTGAGCTGGTCTTCATATTGTTTTCGGAAGCAGTCACCAGCAGGGAAAAACTCCCAACACCGTTCTTGATACATTTTCCATACATAGGATTCCTGAAAGAAAGAAAATTTAAATAATTTAACTTGATTCAATGAGAAAGCACCATGACTTTTTTTTTCCCCCCTCTCTTATTTATATACTGCTTCACTTTTTTGATTCTGTGCATATCAGGTTGTTGTATATCAATCTACAAAATCATATTAATGATTTTGATCAGTTTAGAGTAGCTTTTAGATTTTTGTCACCTAGTCAAAAAGCACTAGAGAAACATAAAAGAGGACCAAGTAGTTTAGTTCAGGACCAGGTAGTTATGTGCAATAAGTTGCACATTCAGGAGCCCTGTAAAGCTCAGTTAAATCTGATCACGAGACAAACACCAGGATAAGCAGAATATTTTCTGTCACAGAAATTTGACTGAATTTCTGTATCAGTCATTTCAAAACATGCCTACACGCAGTACATAAATAATGGCCTTTAATGGTACTTCTCAGAAGAGCAATATTTTCTGAATCAGTGGTGGTTTTTTTTTTCTTTCTGATTATTTGTTCAGGTAAGGCTTTTTCTCTAGGCAGTCCAGAGAATAGTAAAGGATATGTCAGTTTATTTCCATTTTAATCACAACACTTAAATGTGCTTTTTATTATACAAATTCCATAATAGAAAAGACATGTTACACAAGTTATAGAATCATAGAATCATTTAGGTTGGAAAAGATTTTTAAGATCATCAAGTCCAACCGTAAACCTAACACTGCCAAGTCCACCACTAAACCATGTCCCTAGAAGTTATGTAGTATGAAGTACTCCCAATTTTCAAATTATCAGGTAACAGTATCAAAACTTAATAATTAGTAGAAATCTGACTTCAGTGAATAGGGTAGGACACGCTGTATGCCAAGAAAAAAGAAAACTCAAATAAAAAAGACTTTTTTAAAAATCTCATTTAATGTGAAATTTTCAAATGACAAATGGAAGTTCAAAAATAGCAAAGCAAATACATAAAATCTGATACTGGACAAGGCTGAGAAGATTTATGCAAAGATGATGATTATAATTGCCCAGTACATACATCAGAGTTCAGAAAGAGTAAGCTACATAGATTTATAGCAAATCATCCCTCTGACCCAAATCTGTATGGCTATGTATATGATGCTCTTCAGGTTTTTTGTTTTCTGATCTGCACCATGGGAACATTTGCTTAGTCAGCTGCAAGACTATCACTAGAAAAAAACAGTAGTCTGTAAATCTGATGCATTTTTTTTACTGACTTTAGGTATACTTAAAGGAAGTTGAAAGAAGCACCGGAAGTTTGAAAGAACAACAGCAAAGAAGAAACCTCAAAGGAAAACTTCTCTCACAGGTTTCATTTTAAATACATGCACAAGCTCTTTCATATGGACTTATCCAGGAATGTAGACACAGAAGATTGCATATAGATAATAATAAAGGACAGAGACTATTAAAGAATCAACAGGGAGAAATGAATAGTGCTGCTTTCACAAAATGCTTAAATGTTCTGTTTCTCATTATTTTTATTTATAGTCTGTATTCATATTTTGTGGAAGTAAAAATTCAAGAATAATAGGTCAGATAACAAAATAGGAATAGAAAGTACTACAGAATTGATACTTAATCTAACATTAAGCAATCAAAGTCCTAAGAATTGTTTAGAAGAATGAGAATTAAGTTGTATACCATATAGGGAGCTATTCATTAGAATACTCCTAGTTTTGCCAAGCCTGGATGATTTTTATTTTAGAATCAGTCTTATTTAATAACTGTTGACATTCATAGAGTTGTTCAACCTACCTGTCCTGTATGCTCCGTTTCATCTTTGTTAATAAGATACATCAGAAAAAACCTACAAGCAAAGAAACAGCTATTATGAATACAATATTTGGAAACATTAGGCAACCCACAGAGGAATGGATATTTTTTAGCATGTACAGTGATAATGCTGTTCAAATTCCAGAGTTCTATTTATGATAATATTCCCAGACACATTAAATATACTTTCCTGACACTGTTGACATTCACTCATTGTTCAATGAATAGTATGCTAAAATGCAAAAGATTCAGTTTGATTTACAGTAAATCGCAACTCAGTTTAAATGAAGATTTTCTAAGCTTTCTAATCTGAAAATTGTAATAGACATTTTCTTGCCCATGAACACCAACTTGGAAGTAGACAGAGAATATTCATTGGAACTTTTTTCCCTCTCCCCACAATGAATAAGAAATGTTGATGATGATAAGATGATAAGATGATAAGAGATTTCTCTTACTGAAATTATAGGTTAGGGATATTTTACTAGTGTATGTAACTCAAGATCAACATGGGCAGAAAAGAACTTGTAATTTTAAAAATACATTAGTCTTGGGGTTTTGAGATATCTGACAGACACTAGGTGATGATTTCAAAATTTCACTCATAATAGACATTCTCTCCAAACATATGTAAAAATATAAAATATGATCATGCACAAAAAAATCAAAAAACATTTCCTTAGGATGATGCACATAGAGTAAGTATGCTACAGTATGTTATTTATGTAGTACTTTGTAAGCAGGAACAAAATACCACATGATGGTGCTTTTAATGGATTTTGTTTGCACAACCTGTTTTTCAGGTGAAAGTTCTTTACAGGGATGTTTGGCTTTACAGTCTCATTATTTTGTGCACATACAGTGCTAGTTTATAGACACAAAGTCACAATCCATCCAATGCTTCATACTGACAGCACTAGTATAAAATGCACTTTGGCACTGGATTTTCATATGTATTTGACAGGAAAGGAACAGTATGATACAGTGATTGTGGACCTGATAAATGGTTTTATTTCCAGATTTAAAAAGACCAAGTTTAGTGGTCACTGATGCTCTGCTTGGATTTTCCAAAGATGGACCTGATGCCCTTGGTCTGATCCCTCCCCTCTCTAGCTCCTCGTTCCAGTTCCCCTACCTCCCTTTGTCCCAGGTTCTCTTAGTCAGCCTTAGCACTCCACTCGAAATATTTTGTCTAATGTAAGTTTTCCCTCTTTTGCCTTACTCCTTTGCTTATGCACTCTCTCCATCAGTCTCCAGGCCAGATCATACTGTTCCTCTGTACCTTATGCAACACATTCAATTTTACAATGCCTCCACAGCCACACACTAAGTTCCCGCTTTCCATCTCCTAGCTCACACAAACTTAGTGTGTTACAACAAGCTGGAAACAAGGTAATGAAGTTTGTTCATTCCTTGCTCCCATCGCCACAGAATTATATATTCAGACAGCATGAGCGCACATCAAAGCCAAGCAGTACTGACTGTTACTTATGCAAGAGAGCTAATCAGGTACTTGCAGAGACTGCAAGGGTCATGAGTTAGCAAGGAGTTCATTTTTACTGTACTCACAAATAATTGGCCAAGTTGTGCTCCTGTAGCGTGTGTGTTTCAAAGCCATGGGGCACTGTATCAAAGTAGTCATTTCCTATTCCACAGATAAAGCACTTTGTCTAAAAGAAAGAATACAGAGCACTTTAACACTATATATAACCCTGCCCCCTTTGAGAAAAGGCCAATAAAAATTTAACAATTTGCTTGAAAATGGCAATGCATCATGTATAAACAAAAAAGGCTTTTCTTCTAATGATTGGGATTGGATATCTTGGCCAAAACACTTGAATAGAAGTTTAACTGCTATCAGAATAGCTTCTTACTGTTTGGGGGGAAAAAAAAAAAATCTTTGGCAGCTGTAAAAGAACAGATATCAGAAGAAAGAATGGCATACAATGGTCAAAGTTGATTTTTTTTTTTTCCTTCAACACTAAGTAGCACTCACTGTAATATACAGCAATATTTACCTCAATGTCTGTTGTGCTTCTACAGCTGAAACTGAATATGCTCAAAGTTTAGATTACAAAACACAGTAGGTTTGCAACACTTTCCTGAGTTCTTATAGTCATACTTAAATGCCAGAACAGAAAACCACCAAGTACAGGATATTTTCACACATAGATTAACCAAAGAAAATTACATCTGAGATGAACTGTAACATGACAGTGTTAACACCCTGTGTTAGAAACCTCTAGTCTGAAGATCCAAAAGACTTAAATAGTCACAGACATGTAATTCATTATAATATACAGCAATGTACTAATACTTTTTCTTGTTTACAAAAATGAAGATACAGGGATTAGTCTAAACTTTAAAAACTCATGAGAAAATAAGCTGTTAGGCTTTTTGTCTGAATTTTTGTTAACTTATCACTGACAGCAAAAAACTGGCCACACTTGATCTGGAGGTATTAAAAAAATCCATACTAGGAATTGGCAAACAAATCCAAAATATGCTTAGAGCAGAATATCAGTTTAGACAACCTGGGTTTGTGTCCCATGAAGAGACACAGAAGGTAGCAGCTACCACATGTCAAAGCATAGCATACCTCTTTCACAGGAGGCAGCAGAGAGTTGTAAATGCTATTCAGAACCTGGATGCTAGCAGAGTTTTCGCTTCATAAAATTGTCTAAAAAGAATTTTATTGGGTACTAACAGAACTACTTATGTACTAACAGAACTACTTATATTTTAATAGATACAAAAAAAGTCAATAAAAAACAATCTCAGTTATTATTTCCATCTAATGAACTGAGATGTGAGAGTAGAATCTCATCCAGGACTGTGTAGAGAACTGTATTTTCCTCTTAGCTAGATCACATTTTGATTGAAAACAGATATTCATGAAACCTGAAAATAGCGTATGGTTCTGCAATTGGATGTTCTTACCTCCATGTCTTCCTTAACTTGCTCTTGCTGATCTCTTAACTCACCAAAAGCATCAATAATTAAACCTAGGGTTTAAGTTAAAATCATAATTAATGTTCAAGAACAGAACTGTGACAAAGAATATTGGAAATCCAGGGATAACTCTGACAAAGAATATTAAATGAGAATCTTGTGCAGAAATAATAGAAGCCAATATACATTCCAAAGACCACAAAAACAACTCAATACGTGAAGAAAAATGAGCAAGTCAAAGAAAATGGTTACCAGTAACATGGCTGGCAGTACCATTTGGAATTATAAAATGGCACAAGCAGACTTCTGTTTTATTCACAGTGCTCTAATCTTGACTCAGTATATGAAGACGCATGTGGTTTTACAGTGATGGAGACTTTGCTATAGAAAGAATACTCCTGTACATTTAACAGAGTTCAGGGATTTATTACACAGCAGATGCAGAGAGTCCCAGAGCTCTGTGCATCATCTCTCATTATGGTTGTCATGTAGTACGAGGTTCCACTGTCAAAGCTCTACAGAAGTAAGGGGTCATTTCAGGGAGATACAGAAAGAAGAAGAAAAACCACCACAGGCTCTATGGCTCAGATTATAAATTCTTTATGGTTCTCCCTTTGCTTACACCAATACAAATAACGACTAACTCCACAATCATTATTGACACTACTGTGCTGTAAAACTGACGAATACCAGATGAGAATTACACTCAAAGCTTGACAGCTAAGGCCTCTACTCTTCAGCCACTGACAAAACGAAGAAACAAACAGTATGAGATATGCCACTTCAGGCTACAAAAAATTTTGTACCCCAAGCCCTTTAAAAAACTTGTTGCTTGAGTAAGAGTTGTAAACAATTTACCACAAGTTCAGAGTTGCCTCCTAAACTTCCTTGTAGGAAGTGAGAAAGCATCCTTACTGCTGTCAAAATCATTATAAGTTAGCTAACTGTTAGCTGACAGAAAGCAATAAGGTATCACTATTTGTAACAGCAACTGGATCTAGCAAAATTCATTACACTTTTTTCCAAAATCAAGAATATACTTCTGTTAATTTGTGCAAACTTTAATAAAAGATGATCTTCTGGGCATTCTTGACAATCTTTTGAAGGTAATAATACGTAAACAGATGGGGCTTTTAAGTACTTCAGGTAATAACATTCAACATCATTAATACAAATATAATAGAAAAAACCCTGACTTCCCAAAATTCAGTATCCAGTATCCAGATTATAACAGCGAGCCACACTATCAGTCAAATAGTTTCACTCAAATTCAGAAGCTAACCTGATGGCAGCTGACTTTCCATTGTCATTAACCAGGATATACTAAAGCTGTTGCATATCAAGCACCTTTCTTTACTCTTTGACATTGCTCAAGTAAGCAGGCATCACATCAAACAGAGGGTTTTATGTAAGAAAAGATTAAACCTCTTAAAGCTATGTTCCAACTTTCACACCACTACCACCAATCTGAAGATTTGCCAGGCAGTCAAGAACATTAGATGCTGGCAGGGGGAATACTGACAGCACCCAGCACCCTCTACTGATTTTGTCCACATAAGCTCACAAAGGGTGGGTTATGCTGAAAGACAATTTTAAGGTATGCCACAAGATTTCTAATCACTTTCTGATCACTCCTCTTGCTGATCATTTACAGGAGGCTTTTAGAAAGGGCAATGAGAAGATACAAACTGTAGTGACACCAGTATTCTCACGTCAAAGAGCTTTTTTTCTTTCCAGTTAGAGACTGTTTTTACAGAGACTAGGAAGAACAGCGTATGGATAAAAGCCAGCTGGATGTGATTTACTATACAAGTCTGTGCTTCATGATCTGCCCTGGTGTCCTGGTTGAATCTTAGGTGTGTGATGGTAGCACTAAGATCTCTGTACTGCTAAATAATGCTTTCAGTCTCACCATGGGTTACAAACATATACCTTGAATAATTGCAAGCAGGATGACAATCACAAAGAAGAAGAAAGTGATGTCAAAGATAATCCGATAGATTTCATATTCATCTCCTGCTGGATCCTCTATTTCGTCACCAATGCCTCCACCCGCACGTACTCCAACGTACATGTGAAACATGTAGCACTAGAAAACACAAAACAAAGGGATACAACGTTTGTCTGCAGCTAAAGGTAAAAATACCCATTGTTGCAAATTCAGTAATTGGCAGAACTGGTCTATGGGCTAGCAACTATACTATGACAAGTCATCTTTTTCTCCCCTTTGAGGTTATGTATATTTCTGAGGGAGGTGAAATGCTGCTGTGCAGCTGAAGCTGCAGTATTTCATGTTCTGTCATTATGTAGCAGTTCAAAAAGATCAAAGGTTCAACTACCTTAAACCCAGCAGCACACCATGATTCACATACAATCATTTCAGTAATGTGTAAATAGGAAATACCATTACCACCACAGCCACCTCCTTTTCCATTTTTCTAGCTCAAAAGTGAATGACTTCCCCCATCTTCGGTGTTTCAAACAAAAATTAAAAACAACAAAACAAACAAAAAACCTTTGAGAATGTTTGTGCAGAGGACAGGCTAATGATGGAAGAAGTCTGAGACTAATACTGTGAAACTATGACCTGAAAAGCGGGTTAATAGGTCTCTCATTATAGTTATGTAGGATGCTAACAATGCAAAATTTCTAGTTCATCATGCTATAATTTAATAGGAAATTATGATATCACTCTCAGTGGTCTGGAGCAAGGGATTGGTTCTTTTTCTTTAAGTAGCTTTGCAAACTACAGGTCCAGGGTTCTCACTCCCTATCAAAAAGTAGTGATGACAATAATAATAACTAACTCCTAAAACCTAACCATACAAAAAATCCATTCTTTTATTTCTATGCCACGCTTACCCCCAAAATCCCTTATGTAAGAAATTGATATAGTAACATACAATGCTGAGTGACCAATGGCTGAAAAGTGCAACAATTTTTAGAGATAGTTTTTATTTCACCATTGAAATTCAACCATTAACTTAATGAGTGAATGTAGTGTTAGTTATCTAAGAAGTTTTAAATGTTATTTTTGTATTTTTAAAAATAAAAATATATTCTCTGCACTTTTCTTTTTTTTTTTTAACATCACATTGCAAGTCTTACCACTTTTACAAAAGACAACCCTGATTTTATATCATATCACATGTTATTCTAACTCATTCCTGTACAATATTATAGCCTTTTTGTAAGTGTATTTTCAGAGAATTACAGAGCAGGTCAGGTCAGAAGGGACTTCAGGAGATCTCTGGTTCCAAATCCTGCTCCAAGCAGGGTCCACTATAAGCTCAGACAAAGTTGCTCTGGGCTTTATCCAGTCAGGTCGTTACAACCTCCTGAGGATGGAGACTGCACAACCTCTCTGAGCAACCTGATCCACTGCTTGGCTTTTCTCAGTCAGAAACCTTTTTCTGCTTTATGTCTATGGTCTCCTGCCATGCACTACTGTAAAGAGCCTGGATTTGTCTTCCCGATAACCTCTCTGCAGGCACTGGAGAGCTGCTCTTACACTCCCCCCACCCCAAAGCTTTCTCTTCTCCAGGCCAAACAAGCCCAATTCCCTCAGCCTCTCCTCCCAGGGCAAGTGCTCCAGCACCTGACAATTTAGCGGCCCTCCGCTGATTTATGCTCCAGTTTATCTATGTCTTTCTTGTACTGAATGTCCCAAACTGGACAAAAATATAGACATACTAATCTGCTTCCTCAGTTTATCTAATTATTGGGCTTTTAAAAGGTGTCAATTTCCTGGAAGTGATTCACATCGCATAACGTACTGAAATATATTTAACTTTGTTGTACATGATTGCTTGTAGAAGGATATTAACAGCAATGCATCTTAGAAATCCTTTGTGATTTAAGCTCTACCTACCATCCACAACTGCAAAGCCTGGCACTGTCTCAGTAAGTACAAAATAATTTTCAATGGTTCTGAGCACAGGAGAGATTTCGTAACAGAATTGCCAATTGAAGATAATCATGGCAATTCATGCTAAGGGAAACTGATGGATTTCCAAGGTTAAACAAGCACCTAAATTGCTCATGAAAGTCCTTGCCTGTAACTGACCCTCCTCCTGACTGTAGAACCTCGAGAGTCAGAAGTACTGCTCTTTAACTGACTTGGCTCAGCTTCACAGCTTGTAGGTTTTTTTCATTTTTTGAGAAACTATAGCAAAGAATACCATCACATTTCTTCTATTCATTTATAGATGCATTTGTTTAACATACAGAGGGTATATCTAGTTGTTAGGGATGTTCATTATATTTGTTCCTTTGCCTTCAATTATAGTCTTTCCTATTGCTGGTTAATGATACGACTGTACGAATAGGAATTACAAGAAGGTCAGGACAAAAACATAACAGTTTAAGAAAAAATCCAGAAAGCAAAATAAGACTTACTGTTAGCATATCATCACATTTCATGTCTGGCATATCACCATCTTCACTCTTGTTGTAGAACTTGCGGAAAAAATTGAATGCCACTACTGTATACAAGTATACTACTACTGCCAGTAATCCCACTGTTAGGACAAGCTGGAAGACAAAATTATAGAGTGGATATAACACCACCATGGAATTACGCTATACAATTTTCTTTGCAAAAAGAGAAGGAAAGTAACAACTTTAAGAACACTTTTTTTCAGGTGCAGACTGATTTTTTCGCTTTTTTGTTCTTTTAAGAAATCAGAATTAAGAATTTAAGAAATTCTGTTCTTTAAAGGGAAAAGAATGCACTATGTTGATTTCTGTAACTTTTCAAGACAAAATTTTTGTTCCACAAATGAAACTTAAATTTGCCACATAAATTAAAACAAATAACAGTTTGTCAAGGTGAGTTCGTACTTAAGAGTCTTCTATATGTCATGTGCTTCACTAGCTATTTTGAAATATAAACCATGTCCATTTAAATGTGTATTAGTTCTTAAAAAATGTTGACAAGGACAGTGCATTTGAAGGCAGAATTAAATTAAATCAATCACCCTTTGCATTTTAAAAAAAATCACTGCTAATGATTTCATGCTTCTCTAGTATCAAAAAAAAACCTGAAAAATAACTTGCTACTGATAAACTTTGAAATAGCGCTTCCCACCAGATTTCTAAAGCACCTACCTTGTATAAAGTCAGAACTGAAGTTCCATCTTACAACAGCACATAAGTATACACAATAGAGAAGACCTTTATGTTACCATTCCCAGCCCACTTGAATAAGAATTACATTAGCTGCCTTGCTGGAAGGTCTTCTAAGCAGACCAAGGATGGCTTTTTTTATCACTGAAAATTGTTTACAAAGGTCCTTTGAACTAGGAAGGACATCAGACATGAGGAACACTGTCTCAGGTTACATTAAATGCCATTCCTACAACAGATCTCAATAGATGAAAAGCCTTAGTTATTTTCTTTACTTAAATCAGAAATGCAATTTCAGACTTTATAGCTGCTTTAAGAAAAGATTTCTTATTATCAAGGAGCTGAGTTTCTCAAACAGTCCTCTAACAGAAAGAGTAACTGGGTCTCAACTGGACCTTCCTTTAGATCAATCTTGAAAAAATTTTAAACAGCAACTTTATGACATAATTGCTCATAACAGCTAGAGACTGCCATACATCCTAGTCCCGTTTTCTTATGCTTATAAATCCCATTGGCTAGTTTCCCCACTGACCCAACTTCTAAACTTCATGATGGAAGAACAATTCTGTTGTCAATCTGCAGAGCCACTGAATTAAGTCATGAAGTGATCTTTCCTGTGTACTTCTTAATTAAAAAAGCTGAAAAGCGATGACAGTTGATACCTGTTTGCCATTGTGGGTCACTGATGACAGGATAGTTCGTAATGTCTTGAATCCCATTGCAATGTCAAGGAGATGAGCAGCAAAGAAAAAATTGTTGTAATGGCCAAGGACTGACATGGTCATGTACCATGCTAGGTAAAGGAAAGACTAACAGAAAAAACAAGTACATCACAAAATAAAACTCATGGCTATTATCTTTAACTTAATTCAAAACACTAAGGAAAGATAGAAATTGCTTGAATGTGCTTTTCTTTAAACAGAAAACAATTTTTTTTTTTTACATAGAATTTGCTAGAGATCTTTGAGAATTTTCTCTTTGTACAAAAATATTAAATCAGCAAATTCACAAGACATGGTCAAAATTGACATATTCTACATTTTAATTTCTAAAAACTGATTTTGGAATTGCTAAACCCTTATTTGTTAATGTTTTTAATGTAAAAAGTTTTTCTGATTTTATTGAGGTTTTGTTTATCAATTTCTAAATAATTACATTAAAATATTAAAGCCCTGAGGTGGTTAATGACAAATGAAAGGACTCCACAAGCAACAAAAGCAATTTTATAATTAATTCAAACTAGTAAAGCTACTACTTAAACATAGAAGTATTATTTAAGTAGTTTACTAAGTATTACTACAAATGTTAATTTCATATTTTCCTCTATCATTTAACTTTTATTGGACTTAAAGACAAGTACGTATTTATAAGAGAAATTACAGTCCCTCCCTTAGAAAAAACCTAATCCTGAACAAACTCTAACTCTTTACAGATCATGCTGTCTGTAGACCTGGAGACTTATCATTCCACTCTTCTTGACTAAAGTCAGATTACACTTGCATTCTCCGGCAGTCCTAGTTCCAAAGTCGTTTGTTCTCCAATCATCTTTTCCACCAGCAAAATAAGCTGAGTTAGGCAAGCAATAATCATAAGACTCTTAATAAACATATGATGAGTGACTTCTTAAACTGCACGGTATTTTAACAGTCAGTCTTGTTTATCATTCCTTTTTTTTTGTTTTTAAAGACTCATTTTTTCAAATTATTAAAATGATCAGCGTCATTTTGTGTCACATCCTATCACCAGTTTCAGTGATACAGATTTTAGCAATTCCACAAACATTAACTATAGCGATCTGACTGTGCTCCAGGAACATTCAAGTGTTCATAAACTTTTTGAACAGTATGAAAAATGGCAATTAGACTTTATATAGTAAATTTTCTAATTCTACAGCACAGTGCTTGCTTATTGCTCCTGAATAAAGCATGTTAGAAGGGGGGCGGGAATTGACTGAGGTTCTATAGACGAATACCTACGTAACTGGGAAAAGATTTCGGCAATGTCTTTTTAAGTTTCCAAGATTTTCTTAATCTATGTAGTAAACTAAATATAATCCAGAGTATTTCATACCTCCCTTTGAAGTACTTTGGGTTAACAAGTGTATATTGCTTTTTAGAAGTGAATATATATATATGTGTGTGTGTATATATATACTGATAAACTTACATTATCAGTGAAAACAACTCCTAATTTCCACATCTGATACTTAACATCAATGGAATTTAGCCTGTAAAAATAAGTAAATAAATTGCATTTTATAGAAAAACACAATAGGAAAATATGCAACACAATCTGTAGGAGCTGTATTGTCACATAAACACAGGAGACAACAGCTGATCTATTTCTCCAAAAGCTGAAATACATCAGAACCTTGTTCTAATTCACACTTTTACTCTGGAATGGACCTGTCCAAAAAAAAAGCAGAAAAACAAATTAATAAATACTGGTTTGGATTCATCAGACCTAATGCTGATCAATGTCTACAATGTTATCAACATACATACAAGTGAAATGAACTGTCTCTATAATCCATGGAGAAAAAGAAATTTTTTGTTTTTTAAATGTGACCCATCTAAGCCTAAAGTAGCTTAGGTCAGAGAATTTGCATCCCAAAATGCCAATTCTTTACCATTAGTTATGATAGCATACCTTGGGTGATACAATTAGATGACATTAAAGACAGACAAAGTGAGGTGAAATGAATCTCAGAGCTTGTGTCCTTTGCTTTTCCCACTGATATCAGGAATAAATGTGAATGAAAGAGAAATGTTTATTAAAAGCTTTTGCAGAAAAGGACCTGGGGTTCTTGGTGGGCTGCAAATTGAGCATAAGCCAGCAAGGAACCCTCACTGCAAAGAAGGCTAATGGTACCCTGAGCTCCACGAGGAGGAGCGTTGCCAGCAGGTCGAGGGAGGGGATCCTTCCCCCCTAACTCAGCACTGGTAAAGCCACACCTGGAGTGCTGGGTCCAGGTCTGGGCTCCCAGTTTCTTCCACAGTTTTTGTTGCTTTGTTATATTAGCCAGTTAGCCTCTTCTACTGATCTCCTCTCTTCAATAAACTTTTATGTTGTACAGACTGATATTGTAAGCTATTCTCTCCAAATTTTCCCTTGTATTTCTTTAATTAATACTTTCAGGTTTAATTCTCCTCTTACTCTATCAACTCAAATAAATGTCTCAACGTTAGGCTACATTTTTTGCACTAGAATTAAACCCATTAATTTGCTTGAAGCATTTTTTTTTCCTCTATAGAGAAGTGATACAACTAACTTACCAAACAAGATGTATACCATTTTTGCTTGTAACTGTATCTTGTCCTCTCTAGTTTTTGCCTTTCCCTTTTTGGAAAGGTTTGGATCATCTGTATTATATTGACACAAAAAAATTCTAAACCTGGATCACAATTCAGGAACAAATATAAACAAGAGCATGAAAAATGTCATCTGTCCTACTTTTATCCTTAAAATGTGAGTGAATTCAGTGTTCCTGAAAGAGAAGAGCTGCTGACAATGACTAAACAAGTAGAAATAATGCTGGCAGATGTCATACACCTGCCATATATGAAAGCATGTAGTACTTCTGTGCCAGATGCTTATATGGAATTACCTGAGGCCTTAGATGGAATACCAAGAGTTAAACCCTGGTCTATCAAGGTCTGATTTCCAAAATTCTTACTTGTATATCCAGAGCCATTAACCACATAAAAGTAATAGTTTTATTTGAATATTACACTCGCAAGGAATATTTTGCCATCAAAATACCAAACTCCTACTTGTATTATATGCAACAGTATTTACTCTTTAATACACTCAAAAATTAACACCATTTTTACACACAAAACTAAAAGGCAAAAGACTCAAGTTGAACCTCCTGGATAATAGTATAAACACTACATAGATATAAGTGGAGCTATTGTAATTGAAAAACAGCATTAAATCAAACTTAGATCAAGAGCTCTACTCCACTCCAAATAGTCTACAGCCTATTTTAATTAAGAATTCATTTTTCCTTCTGAAGTGTATTAGTCTACTTGAACAAAAAGGGAAAAGCAGAAGAAATGTAGTAGAAGTTTTCTGATTTATGAAAGATTTGACCCTTGCCCTCAAATTTACACATGGCAGATCTTTCATACATACATTTTTCTTCTATGCAGAAAACGTTTAGATGATACAGTAACTCATTTTCTTTTTTACCATTTCATTTGTTGGGTTTTTTTAACCTATGTACAGGCAACAAATTACTAGGTTAACAAATCTAAAACTTCTCATAAGGTGTCACGAAACGTTTTTAAAGAATGAGAGTTGATCACAGTTTACTAGGCTCATTGATGGCATGGTCAGCAATTGGTTTTGCTTCATTATTCCCTTCATTCCCTACCATTCCCTTCATGGTAGCAACTCTGTAGAAACTAAAGCCTAAAGTTTCACCTGAGTTTCTTCCATGGTAACTCAGGCCATAGTCACTGGGTGACATTTACTGTCAGATTAAGATTGCAGGGATGATATTTGTATAAGAAACAAACTACATACACAAGAGAAATAAAAGCTGCAAGTTTTTTTTCTAACAGGCTTTCAGGTTTACAAGGATAGAAAGATACATCCATAACAAAATTTGCATTCATACCTTGAAAGAAATTGTTAGAATCCTGCTAGTCCCAAAGGTCCCCAAACTGTGCTATGCTCCAGATACCACAGAGTACTCAAAGATAAATTTAGCATGCTGCCATTTCACCAAAGCTAGGTATGCTTCTTGAACAATCAAATGGCTTCTCCAGCAATAGTCTAGCACAGCTAAAGCTGCTGATCCCATTTTTGTCAACCCCAAGTTATAAGAAAATTTTCTAGACCCAAATTTGAGTTATTAAAGAAATCAAAATTTATAGAAAACTCTGTCCTAGAAGGAAAAAAAAGAAAAGTCAAAAATGTTAAGAACAGTTTCTCATTCAAATATTGTTCCATAACATATTCAGGTGGTAAAATGAACCAAAACCTCTTGAAATTTATTTCTGAAAATATTATTGTAGAAAGTTAATTTCTTGCTTTATTCTGACCCAATACCACTCAATTCTAGTGTCAGGCATATTCTTGTGACTACATTCCACCTATTCATAACTATATTTGTCTTAGGTATGAAACACCACAGACAGGACTGCTTATGGACAGGTAGAATACTCTCTCATGAAATGGCAAAAAAACCCAGCACCAGGGGAACTCATCTCCAGTCGATTTAATTTGATGATTTTATATTTTACAAAAAGCAATAGCTGTAGAGCTCCTAAAAATAATGTGAATATTGATCTGTATGGAAAAAGGAACTGTTCATTTTTCCGTATCTTCATTTTTTTAAAGTAAGCCTGATATGGATAGCAAAGCAATAATAACATGCATAATACTACATTCTCCTGTTTATTTCTGGTCACTACCTTCATCAAGTAGCTCAAAGACTTAAAAGAATATGAGGTCATATAAAAATTAAGCTCTACAGCTGTTAATCAAAACGTAACAGTATGGTTTCAAGTTTCCCTTGGAATATCATTAGTTAGTATTATATTGGATTAATTTCCTAGTCTGAAAGAATTTTTATTTGACTTCTTTCTGCACCATTGAACAGGTTGTCATACACTGTAGTACTGTAGTTGTAGTTGCTGAGTTTAGCGATGGTGAATGACCGCACAGTGTGAATAAATGACAGGAAAATTGTGAGAAATTGGCTATATTACATTTGGCTGCAACCTGCATTAGTATTTCATCACCTTCAACACCCAGACTTTTTACAGCTTCTTTCTTAAGGCCTACTGCATTCAGCTGTTCCGAGTCTAACATAGTAGGTTTTCAAAAATTATTCCTCCTTTAAAAAAAAAAAATCCTCAGGCAATCAAATGATACTAATGTTAACTGGAATCAGAAAATTATGAACTTTTCAGCCTGAATCATTTTAATGTTTGTATATCAAAGCTGCTCAGAGCAGCTACAGGGCATTACCAGCTGAGAAACAACTATCATTACTTTAAGTTCAAAGTGAAAAATAGCCTCGCAGCAGCATTTAACCTTTTTCCAAAATGACAGACAAACTAAAACTGGGAAGAGTCAGTTTTAATTAGTTAGCTCTTCACACTAACTTTCTCAGCAAACACTGAAATTTTCTGTTAAAGGTTCTTTCAGGTTCTTTCAGGAGGCTAATCTAACAGAGAAAACAGTTCAGAAAGATGACCCATCTTTCTAAAGCTGTAAGAAAAATTATTAATGAAAATATGATCTTTCTTACCAATTAATGAGTTTCAATGTAGGGGTTTAGGAAGATCTTCTGTTAATATTACTATTTGTACAATAGAAAGCATCCCATCAGATTAGAAACATTCATTATTTATTAATTGGTCAACAGGGTAGGAAATACTATCATTTTTATTGCACTGTGTCGAAATAGTGCTAGGTGCAGAACAACATCAGCAGGCGATATGTTATAGAGAATGGTGCCAGTTGACGATTACAAAAAGCAAGCATTGAAGCAAACCAAACCAAACCAAACCAAAACAATGAGTTACTAGGTGTCTGAAGTTATCTGTCTGCCTTGGAGGTACAGCGCATAGAATAGATTATTACTTTAAGGTATCCTACACAAAGCCTCTGCAAGGATGCACTAGGCCTGAGATTCCCAAGTAAATAATCAGAGGAGGAGGTATCTTACATTAGCATCCATAAGTGGAAAGGCTTGAAGTTGAGTTTCCCACATATGCATCATTCCTCTCAATGGAACAGGCTGGGAATTTGGACATTATACATTAACAGTAACTATGCCTGCCTCTCAACCATGAAGGCTGAAGCCACTACCCACTTGCAGATACACACTTCTATTTGGACAAATAGGCACATCCACAGGTTTGTAAATCCTGTGGTGACATGGTGTCAGGTATAAATCTTGAGACTTCAGGTGTAGAAACTAATTCAAATAAAATCCCTTACTCTTTCACCAGCCATTATTGGCAAAAGGCAGGCTGTCACCTGAGGGAAAAGTCTACTAGTTTATCAGAGACAATACTGTTCTCCAAGATTACTAACATTAGATTCCAGTTAACATTACTAACAAGTGGGTTACCTGCCCCAGATTCTTTTGAAAACCTAGGTTATTGTTTCTTGTGGCAAGGAAGAATAAGACCTTTTAACCTTTTTCACATTCTGAGGCCCACTGCACTCATTCTTTGTACACTTCACATTTATGATATGGTTTATCTTCTTGTCAAACTATGGAAACCTCACACCTTCCAGGAGAAAATTATTTACATTTTTCTGTTCTTGAAAGGGGAAGAATTCTTCTACCATGTGAGCATTCAACAGAAACCCTGCCTATTTTCCCCCGAACTAGCCTTATGTCACTGATTGCTGCAGATGCTTGAGCCTCAGCTGCCTCTTCTATTGACTCTGACTAGACTAATGACCGCAGAACCAACAGCAGTTAGGAAGGTAAAGGGACTGAGAGGTAACCCTCACTATGACACCTCTTTCATCTTTGTGTCTTTCATATTATCCTCTCAAATATACTTCATCCGTGCTGCAGCTAGTTTAACACCATCCACCCCAGAAAGGAAACTTATTCAATGGAAAACCAGTGCACTGTCTCAATCCCAGTGTACAAATTACAACTGTCTTTACTGTCTAATCTGCATAAAGCTCCAACTGCATCATCCTCCTTAGCTAGTTATATTTAAATAATACTGCGATATATTTAAATAATTATGCAAATATTTAAATACTTATTTGTAAATTTAAATATATATACTTAAAAAATTCTTAAGACTGCATCCGTAAGCTGAATGGCTCTTCCAGAGTTAAAATATAATAGCACGCTGAGGATTTTTTTATGCAGTATATCAGTGGGATGAGCAGGAGCTTCTGAAGGAGCATGGTCACTTGCAAGTAGAGTGCTCTGAGTCCCTTGCATAAAGACAGATGGAAGGGAATCCCAGGTTATATGCCCACAGGAAAGGGGAAGAAACAGTAGGAGCTAGGAGTCAAGGAGACAGAAGAAAAACCTGGTTCATCTGTATTGGGAATGGAAATGCTACATGCTGCATTTCCCTTCTGTGTTGAGAGAGACACAGGTATCTAGTCTGGCCTCAGTCTGCGTCACCTCCTGGCACATGCAGAAGCAGAGGCACTAGAGATGAGATCTGCACCAGGTCATACCATTCTCCATTTTTTTGCCCAAAAGCGGTGCAGTAAGGGTTCAACTCCAGTGCTTTTCTCACCTCTCTCTTCATTGCATTGTAAATATATTTCAAATGTTGAAACTGGAATATGCCTAAGTTTTAGTAGCTTCATTAGTGTTCATTTTTGAAATTGGTAAAAAGTGGATACATGTACCTTCCTGAAGCACATGAATTTTATGCGAATGGTACTGTAAATTTCTGTCATAGTTGTTTATTTTCCCACAGCATGTTCACCTGTTATAAGTATGGAATGATTTCTCCAGGGAGAAAATGAAAGATGGATGAGGTTGTTAAAGTATATAACATGGAGTAGATGTTAGAGATCTAACAAAAAACTGGCATCCTTCAGGCCTGATTCTGAAATTAAGTATTTCATCAGCCTTCTCCAACTGCTTCATTCTGGTCTGGTTTTTTAATAGTATTCAAGAGTATTCACAGAAACATTATTTCAAATTTCTTCCCAAATATGAGTCATGAGCACACAGGGAAGGGAAAGTAGTTTCATTTTCTTTTTATACCAATAATAAAAATAATAAAAATCAAAAATTTTTTCTAAACTCAAGCATGGGTCCTACTATAATCCAGCAGCAAAATAGCAGGTGAGAAAGTATTCTGGAAAGTACTTCTGCCACAATATTAAATTTTATTTAGTATTGCAATGCAACAGAGTCCTTGGGCCTTAACAGTGCACCTGATTGATTGTTTAGATGGACTCCAGGTTTATTTATCCATCTTTACAAATGATGGATATTAAAGATCCATCTTTACAAAATCAGCCCTTGCTTTAATGCAATTCTAATCTCCTAGTGGTCCCACTGTCTACCTCATATAATGCTTGCAAACCCATTGATAAAATGTTGCTTTTAAAGAAAGCTATAAATAGACCCTTACATTAGAATCTCTGTAGCATTGAAAGTCCATCTGTTAAAATCTATTCTATCTATTTGGATATCTTTTTTTATAACGCAGAACTAGAAAAAACATTTTTGCAGTGCTTTACAAAAACTGAGGATGTCCCTTCCCTGTGAAGGAAAATGAATGCAATTATTCTGAATGTCTAGGGGCTTTTTTTCAGGTCTGTCTCTCAGATGATAGGCAAATACACAGCTTAGGGAAAACAAATTATAAAAATATGTGAAGACTAATCATCCAATTTGCTAGATTTTACTGGTCACTATCACTTAAATTTATTCCATCATTTCTTTACAATCAGAATACACAGTGCCGATTTTGCTCGTTCTTTCCAGCTGAGCTGAACTGAAAGAACTATGAAAAGGAGTTTCCAGACCAGTTGTAATGACACTATCAAAACAGTGGGAATGTGATTCATTCAAGCAGCTGTGCACTAAACTAAATCTTCTTACAGAAAAACAGTGGAGCCCTGCATATATGTCATTTCTAATGAAATAAATTCACTATATCATTCAACTTAAGAATTGATTTATCTTATATAGCTATACATAAAAGAGCAACAAGAAAATTCAAAGGTGCATGACAAACCTTCAATGCTTGATTTCAACTTACAAAAAAAAAACCAAAAAACAAACCCCAAACAAAAAAAACCAATCATACAAACAAACCAGAAGCAAATGCTTACACAGCAGATAAGGAGCTATCCTTCTTTGGTTTCTTCTTTTCTCGAGCATCACTAAAATCGAGAGCAGCTTTGTCCATCCCTAGTAACTCACTGATCCTGTCACGGCCATAGAACTCACCATATTTATCCATGACCTAAAGATAGGAGGAATATTCAAGAGAATCAGTTGGGTAGACCAGCTGGTTTTTAGCCTGGTTTCTGAAGACAAGAGGTTTAACATACACAATCTTTTCCATCTGTTTGTTTCCATCTGTCTATCATATCAGTCAGTAACATTTTTTTTCCTGCTCAATTGCAATCAATTCAACAGAGGCAAGAGGTGGGTGTCAAAGATAAGATGTTCCTACTCATTTAATGAAAACAGGAAGAGGAAAGCAACACAGCAGAAGGAGAATAACTAAATCATTATCATCACTGACAGAGAAAAATACACTGTGAGGTCACACAGGAAAGAGATGTTTTGCATATTCTAGCTACGTGAAAAACTCCGATTAAAATAAGATTTCTCAAAGGCAGTATTTGACCCTTATTAGTTATTCCTTTAAAAAAAAAAAAAAGATACATATTTATTCAGTTTAAAAAGTTTTTTTAAATAACCTGAATGTCTTGATTGGGAATTTTGGTTTTTCTTTTTCTTTTAAGAGGAAGTATTTCACATTGAAATACCCATGAAAAATGTCCTCATTTATGAACTAGCTCCATTGCATAATTTCATGATCTTATTTTTGTTAGTTAATAATGCAATGAAACTATAATACACATAGAATATGTAGGAATCAAAAGATCTTGAACAGAGAGTTACAGCTAATAATGATTTTCAGTGAATTCAAACTATCCCCCATCTCTTTCTCACAAAATTTAACTTGTTTCATAAGAAACTTATCTGGAAATGAACATTTACTTGCTCTCATTCTCACTGAACACACAGCTCCTTCCTAAATATTATCTGTCTCTTCTCATTTTCAAAAGAATACTCAAAGATATACAAGATTTTGGATAACAAGATCATAACTGAATGACTCCTGCAGGTGAGGTGGTATTTTACCAGCTTTCTAAGAAGCAATGCTATAAATCTTTATTGATATTTTTGCAGATTTTTAGAGACAAGCCTTCTCTGTCACATGCCTGAAAACAGTGCTTCATGACGGTGGATCATTCACGAGGCTGGGGATTTAAGTATATTTTTATATA